GATCCACTCGGGTTTGTAAGGACTGGGTATCAAGATCTTGACGTATTGTCTGATTGCGGACTTAGTCTCTTCTTGTCACTTGGACAACCTTTCTTAGATATCTCATTTCCGAGGCCTGCAGCTGGCTTCTGTGAGCTGTTGTCATTGCCCATGACTCACACCCATAGGTCAGGACTGGTACATAGGTAGAGCGGTAAACAGCCATTTTCGTCCTCTTGCCAATTTCTCTTTTGCTAAGAAACCCTCGGTTTATCGCCTGGAAGAGTCTCCCAGCAGCTGCTCTGTCTCTATGTTAATTATATATATTTTTATAGACCTACTGATATTTGGTGTGTTGGATGTTGAGCTAAGAACTGATGCCACAGCACTCCATCCTCATCTTCAGCAGCCACAGAAGAGTTCTAATTCCGATGGTGCCAGAAACAGTTGGATTATATGTCTGTCTTGCCTTTCTTCTGAGTGTAGTGTCGACAAGATCCCTTGGTTGCTCCCAGCTGTACCATTCTCTTTAGACTGTAATAATCCATTCGCACCTCTGCATTGTTCACTTGCTTCCAAACTGCCTTGACCAAATCTGGCTTGTCATGCATGATTTCTCCACCCAAAGGTGTAGAACCAGCCAGTCTGTCTGCCTATTCATTTCCCAAGACTCCTGCAGGCCTGGAGAAAATGACAACGTTACCTACTCGGGATCTCTAAAGTGATGTTTGCCACCCTGCACAGAGCATGCCTTACTCAGTGGGTGATGCAATCAACATTATGCCGACCACCTTTAATTGCCAGGACATTACCTGGCACCCATTTTAGTCGCCTGGCAGCCAAGTTAAATTCTGAAAAAATTTTGTCTCAATGCGGATTTCAACCAAGGCCTTTGGGCTGGCAGGCAATAATAAGTGGGAAACTTTACAAGAAAATGACCACAAACAATAGAATTTTCTTGTGGCCGCAGACTCCATTTAAATAAATGGAAACCAATATCTCATAATATGTTTAAATTAATACTTTTCTTGCCTCCACCAAACTTTTGTTTTTACTAATGAAGTCTTTATTGCAGCAACAGCAATTTAGGTAACCATTTTGTTGTACAGCTGTCTTCCTCTTTGTTATTCCATTTCTTCATTACAATATTCAGCAGACACTTGGGTGATAATCTAACATAACCTTGAGGAATAGCATTCATTTCTAAAAAGTAGGATGAATGATTCAGGCATGTAGCAAAAATAAATGGAACAAATCTGTAAAAAATACATCTGATTGTCCTAATGGTGGGGGGTGATTATTCACACATCTCCATATGAACAATGAGACTGTATAGTCCTTTAGAAAACATTACAATTCATTCACATGTACTGAAACTGCCTTCCAAAAATATATATCTGGTTTATAGAAGGGAAAATATATATCTGGTTTATAGAAGGGAAAATATGTTCGCTAAGTATGAACAATGTTTTTAAAAATAACAGTTTATTATCTAAACCGTTTAGACATTCTAAATCCAGCAGGGGTAAATATTCTGCATTCTTTCAACTAATATAATTTTCAGTAGGTTAGTGGGTTTTTCCATTTCGGTTTACTTTTATTTGGGTATAAAGGCCTGTCATATCAAGAGCGTACATTTTTTTGACTTCCCGTTCTTTCTGTTATTTGATTAATTATAAAAAAATGACCCTACACAACAATAAATTGTCTGCACAAAATTAAACCAGAATATATAGTGCCAATGTGGATGTTCTGACATAAAAACAGTATATAATTATGAGTCCAATATATTATTATAGCCATTACCAAATTCAAAACCCCCAAAAAACAAAATTCTGTTGAAAAAAGTCAAATCAGTTGCACAAGCTCAAACAAAGTATTAAATTGGCCAGCACAAAGTGAAAATATTTTGTTTCACAATAACAGTCAGTTTGACCCATAAAGTTACTAAAAAGATCAGCACGGTTTAGGATATAACATGAGGAACTGATCCAAACAAAGAATAATTGTCTTCTTCTTCTTAGTCTTCTGCCAATTACTGCCTTTTTATACCACTTTGCGGTGTAAGCAGGGGAGGGGGGGATCTTTGAGCCTGAGGATTTAAGGCAGCATGGCTAGTGCTGTCACCACGACTGTGCAGGTGAGGTTTTTATTTTGCCCCCCACAGAATAAATCCCCAGCCTTACAGAGGATTCGAACCCGGGTCTCCCGCACGGGAGCCCAGTGTTCTAACCATTCAGCCAGCCGCTCCTCTTCTTAGTGTTCACCGGCTGTAAACTGCGGCGGAAAATCTGACTGTTCGTCCACTTCTGGACACTGATCTTGTGTGTTTTGCATGCACATCCATTTGTATGCAGACTGCTGGTTCCTCACTGTACACCGACTTGAAAGGCAACATCCCTAGTTAGTCGCCTTTCGCGACATGCTTGTTAAGAGGCAGCGGATCTGTTCTTTCTCCTGAAAATGGGCCCTGGTACCCACAGGCGGAAGAAAAACAAACCAATATCTCACGAAAATGTGTCCCCTTGTGTACTACATCTCTTCTTCTTCGCGTTCACAGCTGTTTACTCCGGCGGAAAGTTTTGGTTATCTATCCACCTTAGGACTTTAGTCTTGATCCAGAATCTTGCGTGTACATTTAAAAAAAACAGATCTGGATTATTTGTATGCAGACTGTTGGTTCTTTGCCTCTCAGGCAAATGCACACTGACATTCAAGGAAGCTCCAAGTTAGTCGACTCCTACGACATGCTTTTGGGAAGGCAGTGGGTCAATTCCCGTTTTTTTTCTTCTAAACAGTAGGGCTCCGGAACCCAAATGGGGATGTACTACTTCTGTTCCTACTGGCTTTATTTTACCACTTTTAGGATGACGTAGTAAGTAAAGGACCCCATTCCACACCTTTAGGAGTATTAGGCAAATAGGGCTAGACCTATATTTTAATTACCAATCGGGTAATGAGGTCAACATCACGCTAGCCGTCTACTTCCCATGATTCTTCCTGTCACACATTTGAAGTTGTGGAGCCAAAGTCATTTTTTTTTTTAAAGTACAGCTTCTCAGGATTTGAACCCATGAGTTTGGGATCTGCAGGCAAACGTCTAGCTGCTACTCCATGGTGGCTCCCAGTGATGCATGGCAGGGGTATCTTCATCCTGAGGATTTGGGGCACATAGCTGGTGCTGTCCCCATGAACTATGCAGGCGTTTCCCTGTGTGGGTTCTACTGTGGGGGAAACTAGAACAGACCCAATGTCTCCAAAACAAACATGTCACTTAGTCGACTAATTTGGGGGATCCTTCCAAGTCAGAATACATCTGCCTGAGAGACAAGAAACCAAGAGTCTGCACATAAATAAGCCATATCTGTGAAACAGATGTGCATGAAACAGTCAAGTTCTGGAACAAGAGTAAAGTCTGGAGGAGGTGAAAGAGCACCCAGAACTTTCCGCTGGAGTTTACAGTCCATAAACAAGAAGCAAAAGAAGAACTATGCAGGTTTGTATTTTATTTTATGCCACCACCTTAGTGAGGACTCAAACCTGAACACTCACACCAGAATCTCCAGCTTAGCGATGTTCTAACCGCTCTGGCCAGATGCGTTTCCCTTATGTTGCCCTGACTGTACCAAGTGGTGAAGAATCAGACAACCGCGCAGGTTTAGTCATTTCCAACCATGTACACATGCCCTAGAGAAAACATCCAAAGGGCGCTAACTACTCAGGTCCTGAAGCAATGCTTGCTGTTCTCCACGGAGCAAAGATTAGAAAATAGTCTGCTAAGGTTAGCTACATGAGTGGTCGTAACTTGCTCAGGACTGCAGGTGATACTTGACGAGGGTCGCCGCTATGGCTGCCCTCATTAGAACTTTTTATAAAAAGTATCTGCAGGTTTGATAAATTTGGACGAGGAAAGGAGTGGGTCAAAGTGTCTAAGCAAGTTTCAGACTTGTGTAGGGTTTTTAATCACTTTAGGACATGAGTGCAGGGATTGGCCAGGTGGTGCTGCAGAATCAGAGGTTCAATAAATGATTCATGACAATTCCCGCCCAGGTGATGTGATTATCTATACAGATGGCTCTGTACTGAGGGGCAGAAAAGCTCATGGAAGTTCACAGCAAAAGTGAACGGATGTCGCTGAGGGCAACAGTCTAGTTTGAAAATGGAGGTGGAGGAAGTTACTGCTGGCTTGAGAATCAGCTGTACACACCTGCCGTCATTGTAACTGACTCACAGAGCATGTTGAGAAAGGGGGAGACAAGCATGCTCCGTGCAAAGTGGCAAGCACCACTTCAGAGGTCTCAGGTAGTTAGCGTCCTTTGGGTATTTTCTGCATGTCATGCCAATGTGTTGGGAAACGAGCAGGCAGACAGACTGACCAACACTGCACCAGTTGGCGGTGAACTGATGTGAGACAGGCTAGATGTTGTGAGGGTACTTTGTTAAGCGCGTTAACAATGAGGAGGCACCAATAGATCATTACGGTCTGAGGAGAATGGCGCTGCAGGGAGTTACTAGAGGATCTGGCCAATGCTCAACACTCAAGGGAAGGGGGAGACTGATATACAGTCAAACAGTTACTGGTACCATCGGAACTAGAACTTTTCGCTTGCTGTTGAAGACCGGGATGGAGAGCTTATGGGAGTGTCCCAAGTTCTGTAATGTTGATTCTGAATTCAACAACATTCAACATGGGGTATCTGGGATCTGCCTTGTTGGTGTCTGCCTTCCAGATCAAGATTTTCAAACTTTAACGTATGGTATGATGAGCTTTTCGGTAGCAGCCCAGATGGGACAACACAAGCAAATACGACATGGGTTTAAGGTATTTCAAGAGTTCAACTCAATTTCCTGAGGAATTTTCGGAAAAGGTCTAGAAAGTTGAGGTTACATAAAAGACAAAGATACAACCAATTTTATTCATAACAACAAGCATACATTTAAAAACCTGGCCGCTGTTGCAGAAGTAGGCTGAGGTAACATGTTAAAATCTTCAATGATTACACTGTCCCAAAAACCTGAGCTCACACGCTTGTTCCTGTTTCAGCTTCTTTGGAGCCAGTCAGTTCTGCAGCTCTGCATCGAGACATCCAAACCTTGAATGTATAGTCGTCGCTGACAGTAACCAGAATCTCCGAGTCTTGAGGGTTGACAGCGACACAGTTGACGACGTTGCGATGTGGGAATCGATACAGAGGGATGCCGTAGTGTCGATCCCAAAGATACCCTTGACGGTCTTCAGCACCACTAAAAAAAAAAAAAAATTATTATTTTTTATCAGAATGGATGAAGAAAGAAACAAGTTGAAGAATTTATTTATCTTGTAATTCAATTTACACCAGGTTATCATCATCCTGTAAGACTAGTGTCGTTGGGTCACCAGTTGCTGTTGACTGTCTGATCAGCTCTCTGCACCTTTGGCTGTCATTTGCGATGGACTTCATAGTTGCATCAACTTCCCTGCCACCACAGACTTGTCCACAGTTTGAACACCCCCAAGCTAATCAATTTATTTATATCTCGGATGGTCAGTCCGTAGATATATAGTTCTTTTGGGGAGGCCAGATGTGGAAAATATATGCAGATTACTCCTATTTAATCCTTCTTGACGAATAGAGTCAGTATATGTAATACAACGTGTTTTCTGTGCCTGTAGAAACTTACTAGTTTGATTGCTTCGCTACTAAGAATGAGCCATATCATAGCCCAATGGTTGTAGTTGGGGACTAGTATTCTCTACATCACTCTTACTCAGACTGTCCAAAGTTTGAAGACAAAACTCAGAATACTCACATACTTAGATGATCCTCTTTTACCTTTAGGTTTGCCAGACAGATCACCAGACTTCTCTATCAGCAGTTTTGTTTTTGGCAGTGTTCCATTCCAGTCCTGTCAGATGTTGTCTTCCTAGGGTCGTCCTGGAGGTCTGGCTCCCTGGTTCTTGATCTATGCCTGTTGTGATGGCCAATACTCTCGCATTCTGAATACATGTCCAAACCATGGTGTCTGTGACTGATCTAGCTCAAGTTTGTAAGGCCTGGTTTCCAGCCCTGTTGTGTACGCCAAAGAAGAAGCGCATGGGCATTTACAGCACGCTCAGCGGGCAGAACAGTCAAAGAAGCCAACGGCGCCTTCTCCATGACAACCAGCAGCATGACGATGGAGGTGATGGCAGTGACACAAGCGCTTGCCTGGCTTGAAACACAAAAATACACCCGCGTGTGTATACTCAGTGATTCAATGAGTATGATCCGGAGGGTTCAGGCAGGTTCAGTGCGAAGACAATGGCTTCAATCATTACAGAAGTCCACTGTTCGTGGAGTCACCTTTATTTTTGTTCCGGGATACGCAGGCGTCAATGGAAATGAAAGAGCTGACAGGTTGCCTGGATCCGCTATCACTACCGACGGTCAGCCTACGGATCATGCTGATATTATCAATGCCCTCAGAGAAATGGGAAGAATAGAGGACTTTGGTGGCAGTGAATCCACATCACTCGCCAGAATGGCAGACTTGGGAATTAAGATCGGCACAGCAAAAAACGAGACGCACACCAGCTACGCCAGAAGACCTGTTAATCAACATAGAACTGGTACTATTAGCCATCGGACGTTGGGGTTCATACTGAGGGGAGGATCTGAGCACCTATGGACATGTCCGGAGTGCAATGAGGATAACCCAACTAACTAACTAACTAACTAACTAACTAACTGTGTAGGTTCTCCTGAATTACTGTCTGGTTGCGAACATTGTCCCTTTTGTTACACGGACCACCTTTCTTGATACCCAATTTCTGAGGTCTGAAGCTGTCTTCTGTGAACTGCTTGTTGCCATTACCCATGTCTCTCACCCGTAAGTAAGAAGTGGCATATAGGTATAGTGGTTTACAGCCATTTGTGTACTCTTTTGCCAATCTTTTGTTTTTACTCTGAATATACAACAGTAACACTTTGGGAACACTATTCTTCAACAGTGAGTATGGGAAAAGTGAGGAAATTACAGATAAATTATTTTGGCCAACAACATCACACACGAAGAATTGAGGAAGAAAACTAAATGTTAAATAATGGCAAAGCTATCAAAGAAAGATGGTGGAGATGGCTTGGACACGTCTGCAGAATGCTTGTTGGCAAAAACAGCTTTTTGGTGGGTGGCGGATGGGTGAAGGAGACGTGGATGGCAGATGGGAAAGGGAGACGTGGATGGCAGCTGGAAAAAGCAGACGCGGATGGCAGATGGCAAAAGCAGACATGGATGGCAGATGGGAAAAGCAGACATGGATGGCAGATGGGTAAAGGAGACGTGGATGGCAGATGGAAAAAGGAGAGTGGATGGCAGATGGAAAAAGCAGACGTGGATGGCAGATGGGAAAAGCAGACATGTATGGCAGATGGGAAAAGCAGACGTGGATGGCAGATGGGAAAAGCAGACGTGGATGGCAGATGGGAAAAGCAGACGTGGATGGCAGATGGGAAAAGCAGACGTGGATGAACTATGGAAATCTGGAGAAGGACAGTGGGAACTGAAATGAAGATAGAATGAAGATTTGGCTAAATGAGTTCAAAGTTAGTCGTTCTAATGATTTACCAACCAATTATTGTCCCATCATTCATCTTCCCTTCTGCCATCAAGAGTTGTGGGGAGAAACAACCTGTGATCTAGTGCTCGATGGGCAGCATTTGTTACTGTTACTGCATCTGAATACATGCCTTTAACACCATCATTCCATCATATTTTCCAACCGTCACTTTTTTCTCCCCACTGAGGCAGTTCTTATTAGGTGTACTGCAAGTGCATTGGGGAGTATACTAGCCTTATCCTAGAAAGAGGAAATGAACACCCCGTGTTATAGCAGGTCAGACCTGGCCTTCAGCCTTAGCTGGCAGCTGGTCCAGGAGGGAAGCTCAAACAGGCAGACACAGCACTGCTCTAATCCAGCATATTTACAGCATGCTTTTTTTCGCACATACTGGTGTTACCTTACCTTCAAAGTAAACAAGGCAGGCTGAAAGAGGAAAAATTCATTCATGCTACAATCTGCCCTCGATGGATGTGCCCTTTAGAAGCAATTCAACTCACTATACATCACAATAAAACTGACAGAACAATAGAAACAGGAGTCAAACTATCCAAATACCTAAACTGGAAGCTAATGTATTATCATTAGAAAAAAACTGGCCCAAGCTTGAAAATAACAAACCTACCTGGCAACATAATCATCAGAGACGTCCAGATTGAGAAAGAAACATTCATCGCTGTGTGTGTAAGCTTTATGTGACCTCAGCACCGGACCTACAAAATTGAAGGTTGTCAAATCAATGGTGGAGATTTCAACTTCCTGTGCCAAGGGAGGTGACTCTTGAGGATCAGAAATGATGTAATTTTTCGGCCATGGACGGCAGTTGACATACAGATATCTAAATGAGAGAAACGTATACAATGTTATAAATTACTAATGTTACATGTAATTGTGACATGATTATAAGTCATGGAACAGAAATCAAAAAAGAGAATAGGAGTTGCTAAAACTGTGTTCAATAAGATGCGCAAGTTACTAACAGCTGGGAAGATAAACAACACACTAAAAATGAGAATCGTCAAGTGTTATGTATACGCAATCCTGCTATATGGTGCAGAAACTTTGACAATGAACAAGCAACTAGAAAATCAAACTAAGTCATCTGGAAATGGGGGCATACAGAAGAATAGGTCATATTTCATAGAAACAAAAACAGTACAATACAGAGGTTCTGGAAAGGCTACAAATAAAAAAAGGAATTACTGAAATAAATTTAAAAAAAGAGGCAACTGAAATATTTTGGCCACATTAAAAGACATAACACACTTTTAAAAACCATACTGGAGGGAAAAGTCAAAGTCAAGAAAGCAAGAGGTGGGCAACTATACAAGTGGGTGGACAACACCAAGAGATGGACGGGCAGCAGTCTGAGAGAGTGTACAACCAGGAGAAGAGACAGGTTGGGCTGGAGTTCCAATGCAGCCAACCTTCACTGTGGAGATGGCACACAGTAGTAATAATAATAATAAGCCAAGTTATACTAATCTGTCTGAGAATCGGAATGAAGACGAAACTCTAATATAAAACTAGCATTGGAAGTCTTTCAATTTATTCTTAAAATACAAAACTATAACAAAATTGTTTAAATAAAAGACTCTTTTATGTAGAATATGTCACATAATTAATGCACTAACAAGATAAAAATAATTTGAAGGACATTCAAGATTAAATAATTATCCTTTTCTAAATTCATTTACAATTTAATATTACAACGATTAAAAGCGTGAGGTGCCCTTGAAAGTAATGTACACATATTTACACTGGGGCAATAAGCTATTCCGGAACGTTGCTACGCAGATGACACAGTCCTCCTTTTGAACAATGTAAAGGGAATAGAAAATTTAATCACGCATGTCCAAAAACACAGTGACGGTCAAAACCTATTCTTGAATTTAAAGAAGATGAAAATAATTTCCACTGACAAAACTGTGCGCTAGGAGGGCTAAGAGCTTGGATTCATGCTGGTCAGTGTAGAATCCATCGACCAGGCTGATTCTGCTGTGTGGTTATTAGGAGTCTTCGGACTAAAGGTTGTCAGTCAGCCGAGGTAACAGTGCCTGTTAAATTATATCAAAGGAGGTCAGCTGTGTATGTGTGATAGAGCCGGTTCATCCTTACAGCCAGCCCTGATGAGGAAGTTAGCCAGCGACCTTGGCACTGAGGCGGTAAGCTCAACAATCTGATCGACACAAGTTGTAAGTTGTGCCATGTGTTAATTCCATGTTAGCCAACGTAAGGACATGTGTCACGTTGCTTCATACCATTATTTGTATACAGTCTGGTGAACTCGAATATTCTTGTGTATAAATGTATGCCGGACAACTGCTGTTGAGTTTTCCTGACAGTATGCTAATGAGCTGTGTACAACAGTTTGGAGTTGGAGCACAAGTCATATCCTAGACACTTGGTTACTTGGTCCGTATGCTGTCACAGTTTGGAGTTCGAGTGTATATCATATCCTAGACACTTGGTTATATGTCCGTATGCTTTCACAGTTTGGAGGTAGAGTGCAAATCATATCCTAGACACTTGGTTATATGTCCATGTGCTGTCACAGTTTGGAGTTGGAGCACAAGTCATATCCTAGACACTTGGTTATATGTCCGTGTGCTATCACAGTTTGGAGTTCGAGTGCAAATCATATCCTAGACACTTAGTTATATGTCCGTGTGCTGTCACAGTTTGGAGTTTGAGTGCAAATCATATCCTAGACACTTGGTTATATATCTGTGTGCTGTCACAGTTTGTAGTTGGAGCGCAAGTCAAATCCTAGACACTTGGTTATATGTCCATGTGCTATCACCCCGCATTAGCACACGACAGTACCACCTATAAGGTTGAGGCACCCACATACAAAAAGAGGGAAGAGGAGAAAAAAATAAGACAAGACAAGACTAAAGAGCTCAAATCATGGTGGAATAAAAAGTAATACTGGAAGAAGAAAGAAGCTTCTCTCACTTGTGGTCTGGGGACAAGCTAAGACCCACAATATGGCCATGCATCTCTATAGTCACATCTGGCTTGTCTCTGCGGTTTCCGGCCATGTTGTGTAGGTTCTCCATCACGTCTGGCAGAAGCATGGAGGAACGTCTGGCAGTTACCTCCCCCTGATTTGCAAGATTTTAAAAAAAGATTACATTTATTTGTGTCTTTCCTATTCTTCTTTCTTCCTCTTCTGTCTTTCATCTTCAGACGAAGTATCTTCCTCTTCTGGATACATTTCTATAGAGGCTATTGGCACACCATGTTGTGGTTTACAGCTAGGCTATAACATCTGCAACTTTTGGCCCAGCATATTTGATTTCCGGCAATTCTTAATTAGTAACCTTTTACAACATGCTTGCTATGCAGCAGTGGGATTATATCCCCCCACCCCCGAATCAAAACTGTGCTCTAGAATCTATACTGGTAAGACAGTATAAAGCCCTTAAAAACACACAAAACTAGACATTCAGGTGGCAGGCTAGTGTTTAGCCACCACTCTAATGTGGTTCCCTGATATACTTGTTCTACTTCTGCCTTGTATCCCCCCAATGGAGCATAGGCCCTCAACCAACTCACGTCGAGTCATTCTATCCTTTGCTATTGTATCCCCATGGCTTTACCATATCTTAACTTCTCTCTCTAGCTCCCTTGTGCTTGTGTTTTTGGGTCTACCTTTTTTTCTACGCCCCTGTGGGTTACATTGCCAAGACAATCTGGCCATATTGCTCTCATGGTTTTCTCAACGTGTGGCCGATCCAATGCTAGCATCTTTTCATCACTTTTTGATTCACTAACAATTTTTTAGCACCCCCCCCCCCCCCCCCCCCCCCCCCCCTCCCCACCCCCCCACCCCCCCCCCCCCCCCCCCCCCCCCCCCCCCCCCCCAGCTCAACATTAATGACTCTATCAAACATTTAACTCCCCTTATTCTGTGCAGGAACCAGTTGATGAATGTTTGTAGATTATTAGAAATTGGTATAGTTATTCTCCATGTTTCTGCTCCATACAGCAGACAATTTGACTTTAGAATGAAACTGCATCTCCACAGTCCCGCCCCTCAATTATACAAGACATGTTAACGTAAACTTGAATAACTGTATTCCCACCCTCCTGACCCATTCGCTAATAATCTGGCAAAACTGCCTGCTGCAAATGTCCATAAAGCCTGTAAACTGGCTTTGCTGCATTGGTCAGTCCCTGATCATCCCAGTTAATGGCACTGGTTCTGTCTGAGCCTGTACAGTGTCTAGGGACTACATGTGATTATATTTACTAAAAATAACACTTATGGCTTTAGATTGCATATCCTGGATGTACCAACTGGAGCCGCGAGACAGGAAAAAGATGCGGGAGTCACCCGTCGTTACATCAACCAGAACAGAATGGGAGTCATAATCAGGAGAAGATTGGAGCAGTTATGGTCATGTTCGATGAGCGATGCAGATGATCTTTAAATGAAAAATGAACACTTAGGCAGTTAAACTGTGAGAAAATGGCTTTTTTTTAGTCATTATGATGTGAAAATTTGCTTAGCGACAGTAAGTAAAAGCAAAGGGTTCTCTTTCATGCCTTCAGGCATATAGGGCTAGACCTATATTTTTAAGACCAATCAGCATTTCGTGGGTGATGCCAGCATCACATCAGCCACCTTTACTTCCCAGGACTGCACCAGGTACCCACTCAAGGCTGGGTCGACCTGGGAGACAAGGTAATTTTGGAAAAAAGTCCGGCTTAGTCAGGACTGGAACCTGCAATCTTCTGATCCGCAGGCGGGCATCTAGCCGCTATACCAGGGTGGCTCCCTTAGCGACAGGGTAACTTTAATATTTGTATTTTTTTTAAATCAGGGAAATATATTCATTTAATTTTTCACTTTGTTGTACGTTACGGATTACTTCCCTTTGTTTTTTAACACAGCAAATTTTGTAATGTATATATAAATGTATCCTGTGGGTTCCGGGGCCCTATTGTAGGGAAAACAAGAATAGACCCACTGCCTCCCCAAAAGCATGTCGTAAGAGTCGACTAACTGGGGAGCTTCCTTTGAAGTCGGAGTGCATCTGCCTGAGAGGCAAGGAACCAGCAGTCTGCATTCAATTGAATCAGATCTGCAAAACTGATGCACACGCAACACTCAGGTTCTGGAGCAGAACTGTAGTCCAGAAGTGGACGAACAACCAGAACTTTACGCCAGAGTGTACAGCTGGTGAACGCGAAGAAGAAGAAGAAGAAATGTATCAGACATTTTTTGGCCATGTTATGAGAAGAGGGAAAATGGAACATATGACCACTGGAAAGACCTGTGGAAGGAGGGATAGAGGCAGACAACAAGAGAAGATTCTTGACAGTCTTGTTGTGTGGCATGGAGGTGTGTCAGCACACAAACTGATACATGCTGCAGGAGATCACAGATGTGGAGAGGCATGATTGTCCAAGCCAGTCAACAAGGCACCTGATAATGATGATATAAATGTAAAAATTGCCTTAGTGACCTATGTTAATGGTTGCTTTTAAAAGGTCTTTCTCTTTCGGGAATTCTTGGGTACTGGGTGTGCCCCCCATCCCTTTCCTCCCAAGGGTTTCCAAGGAAAGAATGTCAATCAGCCCTCAATTCTTCAACTGCATGTACAACACAAATTTACCTTTGTAAAATCTGTCCACTTCATTCTCTTGATGCCAACTTTATGTGGGATGTAAGTCTCCGAGCCCCATGTGTAAATCAAGAGCTTCTCCCTTGGCGGGTTGAGCCGCAGATCTCGAGACAGGCTGGAACTCTGGCTAATGTGTGACAGCGAATGAAACGAGCTGGCTCGGCTACCGGCAACCTCTGTCTGCGTGGCTATGCTGCTTTTATGGTTCTGGCCAGGTTCTTTAAGCAGGGCATCCATACTGGAGGTGCCCCGTTCGAAAGTGGAGCTTGGCTCTAAGCTTATGCTAGATCTAAAACAACTGGCGCTGTTGTTACTGTTTGCATCATCACTATGACGGCTTCCATAGACATGGCTAGCGCCTGGGATAAGCATGACAAGGTTGTTGTTGTCGAACAAAGAAGGCACATTTGGGGGAGACACGTCGCCAAACTGCCGAAAAGCATCTTTAGCACCAAGGGTATCTTCTAAGGCAGATGCAACACCTGAATCTTCATTTTTATTATCTAAATCTTCTTCAAAATCAGTTCCCTGGTATATACTTTCTCCGGGAAGTGGTATATGTAGACTATGCCTGAAGCATTCACTAGAAGTGCCACCTGCATCCTTCTGTACATCAGCAGAAGAACCAACTGCCGAGGCATCAAACGCAGCACTGGAAATACTTGGCATAGCCCTGATAATACAAGGTGGCAAATCATCTCTCACGGAACCATCGTCCATAATTATTTCCATCAAATGTTCAGGCATGAAGTCAATATCTGAGTCAGTTGAAACTCCACAGCTTCTTAGATTACCCATGCTGCATTTTTTATCTGTGGTAGCTGTCTGCTGACAAAAACCTGTCCTTTTGCTGACTTTGTCAAATGAAGGACACTGTGACGTGCTGGGTGATAACAAAGAATCACAACTGTGGTTTACTGATTCAAACTCCTGAGATGAACTTTTGGCATAATTTTCAGTGGCATTCCTGGACCATGCTGAAGGAATGTCTGTGGAAGATGCGGAGATCGGAACTGAATGATGGTTCACGGAAGATGTGTTGCCAAAAACACACTCTGCTGCACTTGGAAGAGTTGGTGAGCTTAAAAGAGATGTACAGCTATCTACAATTTTTGTGCAAGACAGGTCTGCAAAAGCTAGATCATGTTTTTCTATAGCTGTCAGCTCAGTTCTATGTTCATAGTATCTGGCATTTGGAAAGATTTCATTTTCAGCCTGAGCAAATGACAAACTGGCATGGGTTACATCCAACTCCATATCAAAGTCAGCAGTTTCTGGTGTTCTGGGCAGATGTGGCTCAAGGTCATCTCTGAGACGACCCCCAGAAGTAACTTCTTGTAGTGAGTTAGGAAATGACACAGCAGTTGATGCGGCTCACAACACCTGTTCTTTGTTTGTTTCTCATTCTTCTTTGGCTTCCTGCAAAGTGCTCTTGCCTGGCCATACCCGTTAAAATGTTGCTCCTGCAGTCTGGTCATGGTTGCAGATTTACAGTCATCACTTGGTTCTCACCAAATTTTTACTTCTTGTAGAGCATTCAGAACATCAACCATCCACAGCAGCTTTACCTGCAAGCCGATCAGCTTGCACATTTCCTTCTACACCTGTGTGTCCTGGCACAAATAATAAACTGATATGTGTCAGCCTCAACCGCTCTAGAGACTCCAACCACTGTCTTCGGACCCAGCCTATCTCTATCTTCCCCAAGCCTACCTCACCTTCATGTGGTGGACCACGTTCTTCCCAGCATTCAGGCGGAAGATTGGGGTCTCAACCCAGGGTAGGAAACTGGATTTGATGGGAAGCAAGGTAAAGCTGAATGGATAAGCCCAATCTTCCTCTAAACAGATCCTGAAGTTGAAAATATAGAGCCAGAAGGTGGATTTAACAAAAAACCGTAGTACTACACAACTCATGCTATACATGAATACACTGTCAGATAAAGTTAATGGTGTTTGCACCGTGGAGCTCTAACAGGCAAGTGCAGTGCCAGGTTCTGAGCGTCGACATAATTCACCCTCAGCAACCTGCGGAGTCAGGAGATGGCGGATTACAGTGACTGACCAAAACCAATTGGAACTAAAAAGAAATTCCATAAAACTGTAAATTTTATCAAAAGAACTCATTTGTTGGTGTAAATCAAAGAGTGATTACAAGAAGAATGCAAAGTATTACAAATCTGCAATGTTCCACGAAACAAACCCAAAGGTGAGCTTTGGCAACAAATACCTGCGTCGGTCATAATGCACAAATATAACAGCCACATTGTAAATGGGCACAATACTTATGTCTTCGATGAACGCAGAAGAGGATTCGAGCTAAATGCCATTCAACAGCAGACACTTTTTTTTAAATCTCCATATGAGGCTGCAGTCTGAAAACTTGCCACCCAGTGAGACAGCCTTTCAGAAATTACAGTGAATCAAAAAGTGAGGTAAGAGGCAGGTAGTTGAGAAAGCCTGGAAAAAAGTACATCTAGAACAAGAACCAACATGGTCCAAGGTTAAAAGGCGGACTAAAATTAACATGGAGAGGGTAGCTAAAAAGGACCCTTCTTAACACCTTAGGTATACTGGGCACATATCACTAGACCTATATTTTATAGATCAATTTGCACATGGTTGCTGTGGTCAACTCACACAGGCCCAGGGAACTAGAAATAGAATTTTTTTAATGAAAAAAGATGGGGACGATTTAGGGTTAGCTGCATACAATAGCAAAAGATTGGCTAGAGTTGCTAGAGGCCCTATGCTCCACTGGGGGGATCAAGAGCAGAGGAAAAGAGGGACAGCCACTATTCGGATATCAATCCAAAGCCTAGAAACCTGTTCAACCCTGTAAAAGAATTATCGGCAGGATGCCTCCTGGTTACAAAGTTACCTGCTATCCAGTATCTGAGGGTTGTGATACTGCTATTGGGGTATGATATTTCTAACCATGTTTTGCAGATTTCCCATTTCTGGACTGGAGGTCCATAGGTTCCATCGCCCAGCTACTGAAATAAGTGCTTGGTGTGGCAATGTCAGCTGAAGGATTTCATGCGGAATATTTTGTTATTTGTGCCTGTGTGTGTTGTTGATTTCACCCAAGTGGTGGTTGGTCGATTACATTCAGAATGGCATGCTGCTGTAACAACTCTTTTTGGGGGAACATCAGTCCTTTAATAGATACTTTGTGGTGAGTACTAACACCTCATTTTATACAGTAAAAAGGGTGCTTTATTAATATCCTACCCCAAAAAAGGCGAAATCTCCAGGTCACTGAACAGTCTAATATTTCAGGGGGTGGTAGTTAAGCTGCACGTAGTCGTGGGACCTGGGCTGCATGCAGTCGTGGAACCTAGGCTGCACTCTCTCGTGGGGCGAAGTTGGGTTGTGGTTAAGGCTAGTTCTAGATGTTTTAGGGTCATTAATAGCATCAAAAAGCCAGGAAACCCAGTCTTACCACCCTCTAAAATGTTGACTGTCCTGTGATGTCATCTGGGGTTCAATATTAATAAAGAACCAAAAAAATCCCTGGTGAGTAAGAATTTTGAAGGCACATACAATGTTCTGCCTACAATATTCAAAACAGCCGAGTGGTAACTGACCTCTGCGACATGCAGCAACCGGATTGAGCTGGAGTTGACATTTTCAAAACGATATAAAACCATACTGACAGACTCCACCTCAGACTCAACTTCTTGGGAGGCCTGTAAACAGTGGACAAACATATACATAAACAGTGGATAATCATATATATTAACAGTGTAATCACACAGATAAAACAGTGGACAATCATATACACAAACAGTGGACAATCATATACACAAACAGTCGTTAATCATATACATAGACAGTGGATAATCATATATATAAACAGTGGACAATCATATACATAGACAGTGGATAATTATATATATATATATATATATATATATATATATATATATATATATATATATATATATATATATATATATATATATATATATATATATATATATATATATATATATATATATATATATATATATATATATATATATATATAAACAGTGAACAATCATACAGATAAACAGTAAACAATTATAAACATAAGGAGTGGAAAATCACATATATAGACAGTGGACAACCATATACACATAAAGAGTGAATAATCATATACATAAACAATAGACAATTATATAGAAAAACAGCAGAGAATCATATATATAATCAGAAGAGAATCTTATATATATTAAACAGTGGACAATCATATAAATCAACAGTGAACAATAAAATGGAAAAACAGTGGAGAATCATATACATAAACAGCGGATAATTTCATATGTGTGACTGTGTGTACGTGCATGTGTGTAAACAGTGGATAATCACATACATAAAACAGTGGACAAATATATACATAAACAGAGGAGAATCACATACATAGATGAACAGTAGACAATCATATAAACAGTAGATAATAATATACATGAACAGTAGACAAACAAACAAACAATCATATACATGAACAGTAGACAATCATACACAGATAAACAGTAGACAATCATATACATAAACAGTGGACAATCAGATACATAAACAACAGACAATCATATACATAAACAACAGACAATCATATACATGAACAGTAGACAATCATTTACATGCACAGCAATCTTATACATGAATAGTAGACAATCAAACAAACAAGCATTTACATAAACAGTAGACAATCATATACGTGAACAGCAGACAATCATATACATGAACAGCAGACAATCATATACATGAACAGAAGACAATCAGATACACAAACAGCAGACAATCATATACATAAACAGCAGACAGTCATATACAAGAACAGCAGACAACTATATACAGATAAACAGCAGACAATCAGATACATAAACAGCAGACATTCATATAATACATAAACAGCAGACAATCAGATACATAAACAGCATACAGTCATATACATGAACAGCAGACAATCATTACATGAACAGCAATCATATAAATAAACAACATACAATCATATACATGAACAGCAGACAATCATATACATGCACAGTAGACAATCATATACATGAACAGTAGACAATCAAACAAAAAATCATATACATGAAGAGCAGACAATCATATACACATAAACAGCAGACAAACAGACACATAAACAGCAGTCAATCATATACAGATAAACAGCAGACAATCAGATACATAAACAGCAAACAATCATATACATGAACAGTAGACAATCATATACATAAACAGTAGACAATCAGATACAAGAACAGCAGACAATCATATACAAGAACAGCAGACAATCATATACGTAAACAGTAGACAATCAGATACACACACAGCAGACAATCATATACAGAAATAGCAGACAATCATATACATAAACAGTAGACGAATACACAAACAGCAGACAATCATATACATGAACAGCAGACAATCATATACATAAAAAGCAGACAGTCATATTCATGAACAGCAGACAATTAAATACACAAATCGCCGACAATCATAAAAAAGTCATTACCTTACTCAACCAGACAGCAGAAACCGAATTGAAATCTCCAGTCCAGTACAAAGTGCCCGATAATAGATGATCATTGTCATACCAAGCACCGAAAACATCGTATGGTTTGTTGGTTACTCTGCACTGCATCCGAAAGTCATCTATGAATAAATTTGATGAAAAATGTAGGAAACATGCATTTGTGCTGATTATTTATAAAGATCAATGACATGCAATTAGAACAAGTTCAAGAATTCAAGTACTTAGGATGCATATTTACAGAAGATGGAAGACTCGATAAAGAGATACAGGCTAGAGTTAAAAAAGCCAATGCAGTCAACTACCAACTGGCCCCACTTCTTCGTCATCCAAAGATCTCGTTACCAGCCAAACAACGGAAGTAGATGTAAACTAGCGGTTTGGGCTCACCTGACTCACCTCAACATATGATCTAGCTCGCCGTACTGCGAGCCACTGCGCGGGCTTTGGGCTCACCTGACTCACCTCAACATATGATCTAGCTCGCCGTTGCCCACTGCGAGCCTCCAGCTACCCACTGGCGGGCTTTGGGCTCACCTGACTCACCTCAACATTGATCTAGCTCGCCGTTGCCCACTGCGAGCCTCCAGCTACCCACTGGCTCAGCTCAACATTGAGCTAGCTCGCAGTGGGGCCTCCAACGGCTCAGCTCAACATTGAGCTAGTGAGCTACAAACACGCAAACATAGTGGGGGCCCCACCCCCCAGGGCCCCCGCCCGCGCATTAGGATCCCCATTCGCACGCTAGCGCACACTCGGGGATGCCCCAGACACGTCATAACGGGTTTTCCCGAACCCGTCGGTCAATTGAACAGGTGTGTGGAGCTCTCGCTGCCAGTTGGAAACCGAACACCCATTTAGAGACTGACATCTCATAGTGTATACCCACCCATGACTAAAGTATTCCAGCCTAAACCCTTGTGGGCGCTGGCCCGCCTCAGTGCTGCGGCCACAAAATCCTACCCGCCAGAGTTAGTGCAGCACTCTTACTTTCTCAAATCATTCGGGCTCTACTGGGACAGCCGAGGGGTTGTACATCTGACCACACCACAACGACTACTAATTACGGGTGATTGGGGGACTCTGAATTTATCCATCGAACACGCCATGGCCATCGCAGCTTTCGAAGGACAAGCAGAGATTGTTGAGCTATGTAAGGATCTGGGTGCTACTGATTTCACCAGGGCGATGAAGAGTGCTGCTGTAGGGGGACACGAGGTGATCGTGCGGTTATGCCACGACGAGGCGATCGTGCGGTTGTGCCATGACGAGTGGGTTGCTTCTAATGTTGAAGAGGCTATGGAGTTAGCCGCATATGGGGGCCACGAGGCGATCGTGCGGTTATGCCACGACGAGTGGGGCGCATACTATGTGGATAGGGCTATGACCCGGGCCGCTGAAGGAGGCCACGAAGCCATCGTGCGGTTGTGCCACGACGAGTGGGGCGCTTCCGATGTGGATTGGGCTATGGTCTCGGCCGCAGAAGGGGCCATGAAGCCATCGTGCGGTTATGCCACGACGTGTGGGGTGCCGAAGATGTGGATACGGCTATGACCTCGGCTGCGCTAGGAGGCCACGAAGCCATCGTGCGGTTATGCCACGACGAGTGGGGCGCTTCCGATGTGGATTGGTCTATGGCCTCGGCTGCGGCAAATGGCCACGAAGCCATCGTGCGGCTGTGTCACGACGAGTGGGGCGCTTCCAAGGTTAATTGGGCTATGGCATTGGTTGCGGCAAATGGCCACGAGGCGATTGTGCGGTTGTGCCATGACGAGTGGGGTGCTTCTAAGAGGCTATGGCCTTGGCCGCGGCAAATGGCCACGAGGCGATCGTGCGACTATGCCACGAGTGGGGCGCCACTGATTTCAACAGGGCGATGGACAGTGCTGCTAGATGGGGCCACGAGGTGATCGTGAGGCTGTGCCACGAGTGGGGCTCGGAATATTAAGAAGAATTATAGTTATAAATAACAGCCTATTAGAAACATGGGTTGCATTGCGAATAGTCCTAGACGAGCTAGAGAGATGTGGGGCCTGGTACAAAATCCAAGAACGAGCACTGAGCAGTTTGCTAAGTGTCGGGCCTTTCCCTGGCATATGTGGGAAACAACGTATTCACATGTTCCCGATTGTCTACATTACGTGTCATTCTAGCACGTACGCTGAGGATAAATTTAACTAAAAATACAGCGGATAACCAATCCGATTGCGCGTTATATTTAGCAATGACCGAGCGTGACACCTCGTATATAAGCAAAGCGTGAGCGAGGAGCTTTTTGTCACACCCGTGACAGTTTTGTCACGCTACTTCCGATTTCCAGAAATCTGTGTCCAATTTGTTTGTTACCAACGACAAAATATGAGCGAGTGGATACGGCTATGATTAAAGCTGCGGAAGGAGGCTACGAAGCAATGCGCCAACAGAGACAATTTTTTCTATGAAACCCTAAGCTGCGCTTACTAACTGCTCCTCATAGCTGATACACCACTCAGGGGCTGTAGGCACGACTGGTATGCTACGGGACGTGGTTTGGGGGTTCAAATCGCTATATGGAGGTGGGGAGTCTTGAGGTGCAGCGATGGTACAACATAAACAACTTATTTTTGCGGCACATTTAAAGTAGCCATGAGCTTCGAAAACTCGGCGCGGGCCTCTTCTCGACCGAGCTCCTTCTGTTTTTTCAAAGCGGCATCATCCGCAGCGCGGGCTTTAAACCGAACCTCTTCCTTCATAGCATGGTACCGATCTACCTCGTTTGAGATGAGGCGAAATTCGTCATCAGAGATGTTGCCATCGATCAAAGCCTTTGAAACGAGTTGATGAATCGAATTCATTTTTGTTCTAGCAATCTGTATAATTGCGGCATGCTTCTCGATCTTAGCTGCGCACTTACGGCTCACCCTCCCACAGACCATGTCTATACCAAAAGCGCCCATACCGAGCCCGGCCAATACAAAGCCTGGGATTGCTCCGATACCCGTCGCAAGTAGAGAGACCCCGGCAGCCTCCAACCCTAGCCCTGTAAGACCCACCCCAGTGCTCAACCCATAGATGATATTAACGGCGCGCTTATATTTTTTACAAAGCTTCTGCCTGTCCTCAATTTCTTTTTGGAGGAAAGCATCCAACTCACCGATCCTTGTCAGCCGAAACTGTTGATCCTTTACTACGGCTTCGCCGGGAACACTTGGGTACAACTTATTCATGTCGGGAGGACAATTTATTTTGTTATGATTCATTTCTTCAACTTAGAGATTAATTGGTCAATGCGGTATTCATTGACCGGGGCAGACGAGAAAAGCAGTCGAACGAAGGCATACGTCGGATGAAATATAATCTCATCCACCCCAACCTCTGCTCCCAGAGAGACAACAACATCCTGCTCAGACGACCGTGCCGTCCACTTCCCGTCTGTTCCTTCGGAACGGTTAATAACCAGCGCAATATGCTTGCCGTGTGTTGATGCATCCCATTTGATGGAGACACCGGGAAGGACAGGGAGCGGGTCTGCTTGTGCAGCCGGGCCCAGTAATAGCTCGAGATATATCGTCGACCCCCCTGGAGGTTTTACGAGATGTCGTAGGTCTGTGTCCAGCTCGCACCACGCTTTGCAGCAGTACTTAGTCTTAGCTTTAATCTCGGTCGCAACAACCCCATAGAAGAGAGGTCTGATAGCACTCAGCTTTAGAAAAGATTGCGTAGTGATAATGGGGCCTTGGTTGCCTTTAACGACTATTTTACATGCTTGGTATGAAACCAAACATTTACCTAAGTTTTCAATTCGTATGAGCATATTGGGATGTTCGGTGTAGACAACCCCACGCCGAAGTTCAAGCTGGACATCCCAGTCATCATCGTCATGATGGTCAATTGCGGCTCGAGAATAATAGCCCTTCGGGTCTAGACGAAGGCCGTAGATCTTGTGGACGTCTCCAGGCTCTCTCCAGCCCAAAGTGTCACCCAAATCTGCCAGAGTTAGTGTAGAACACAAACGGGGCGCATGACGCCCAGGTCCTTCAGGATCGGCCATTAGGTATACGTCGAATCTGGAGAACCAGACTTAAATATGCCAGCTTCAAATCACTGCCATCCTCAGTACGAACTGAGACTTCAATTTGTGAGTGGGTCCCGGTCTCCATCCGTTTGAAGTAAGGTATTGTAAAGGTGACCTGTCTGCCGCCGTTGCATTCCTCCTGGCCTATAGGGATTGCCCGCAGAAGTTGCGATGGTAAGGCATTATGCCTGTTTTCATATGTCGATAGCCCCGACAAGTGAATGTAGAGCTCTTTATGTATAATTAAATTTGGGAATCTCTCTGCAACAACGCGACCATTCACAACAGGGGGTACCAAGTTAACGAACCCAAGCGTATTGCCGACACTTCCCAGGTCTAGATAATATGATTCTCCAATCCCACTGATAGAGATACGCCCCGTGGCGGGGTTCATGCTAAGCTTCAGATCGAATGGCTCGAATATTTCTTTATTGAGAGCACAAACATCCCAGTACCCATCAGGGATTTGAATATCATTTTGGCCATAGTGGAATTTATTATTTCCAAGCGACTCGGCGATATTAACCCACGCAGGATAATATAAAATTTCGCATAAAGCTACCTCCATGCCCCCCTCGCGATTATCTAGAACCGGATTGAGGGGTATGGGCTCGCCATTTTGAACATGGGATAGTGTGATAAACATTGTTACACTTCGGGATAACATGAACCAACAAGCTTATAGCTTTAACAAAAACGCTTCATACAAGCCAGGTGGCATATATGCGGCAGGGACACCGTCAAAATTAGCTATCGCAGAACCTCTAGCTATTGGGGTATCTCCGACTAATAGCTTCACAGCGCGAGTGCCAGATATTTTCAGCAAGTATAAACTCCCTGTCGTATCAAGCACGCGCATCGTTGACCTCTGGGGCTCCCAGCGGATGGGCTTTTGGCAAAACCAGTGCAATTTCGCTTTTTACTGTGCAACCACCGGTTGCGGGGTGTCGGCCAAGGATCATCTCAGTTCTCCAGACCCCCTTATCCGATCTTTATATGTCTTTCACGTATATTACCAAGTTAGAAGAATCCTTGCAGAGCTTCGAACGGCCTTACCCGAAGATCCTT